GTTTTGTGTGTCGCCTAACCAGCAATCCACAAAGGAGAGGATTAATCGTCATAATAATGAAATTAAAGAAACCGGCATTCTGTATTCCCAAAAGATAATTTTTATATCATAATGCTTATTAAAAAAAAAAATTTTGCTCAACACCTTTTATGTCCATTTTAAAACACATGTCTCGATCAATTAAACTGCAAAGCGGGTCAGTTTCACAAGACTCTCAAACTATGGAAGTCTCCAAACCTTGCCGGCCATTTTCTCGCCGATTTTATCTCTGAAATCAGGCGACCCCCACATCCTTCAATCACAAATATCTCAACTTCTATTCAAGATAGATGGGTAATTTTTTTTAAATAGACAAATAAACAAGCTTTAAAATGGTACAAGTAAATCCACAGGTCCAAAAAATTGACGAATGCCTGATTCCACCACGTTGTGACACAGTTACGTTTTACGAGCAGCCTACAAATATTTACCATCTGATTTACAGGCTTAGGACTGACACTTATTGGGAGTAATATTGTGAACAATCAAGATAATCCTCATAAACGAATGACCGCATTATAAATATTTGTTGGTTTGAAAACGTTAATGTAAGGCTGAAATTCAACCTGAAGATAATTAAAAAACGCTGACATTGAAACAGGGAGTTAGAGCGTAAGAACTATGGTCACCAGACTGTGAACTGACCTGGAAAACATCTGCAATACCCAAAAGACCGAGCAGTGATTAACAGCGAGCTGCTGAGAATGAAAACAAAAAGGTTCACAGGGCGGTGGAATCAGGCGCTCGTCAGTTTATAAGCGTATGGAGTTAATGTTGTCATCCTAAAAGCTTTTTTTTCTTCATTTTTCTTGCTTTCGTTACAAAAAAAAATACCCATCTTTCTTAATAGATGTCGAGATAGTTTTATTGTAGAAGATGAAGGTCACTTGATGCCTGCAGCAAAAGTAGAAAAATAATTGCCGCCAAAGTTTGACAAAGCTTAAATGTCCTGGGAAACTGCCCATATATAATTTCGGTGCCTTTGAGCAACGTTTTTCAGTATAGCCAACAGAGAAATGTGTTTTTAATGTGCATAAAAAGTGTTGCCCCCCCCCCCCAAAAAAAAATGAAAACTGTTCAGCGGACAGAAGAAATACGGATTTTCCCAATTTCTTTGTTTTGACGAGTGTCTGATTTCACAACAATACAACTCATTGAAATAGCAGTATAGCAAAACTGATTGCTGGAGGGCGTTTCTGGTAGATCCTACTTCTTTATTTTCCTCTGTTGTTTCTGTCTGTCGCACTTTTCTCCAGCATAAAATGATCATTATTTTTTCCATGTGCTTCTCTTTACTTAGAAGAAATTGAATAAGCACGATATCCACCTTGCTGATGTAAGATCTTTTCAAGAGAAAAACGTCACCTTTGTCTGGCGTTTTGAAATTGATGACGAAACCAGAGAATACGGCGTTGGATTTGTAGTAAAGAACTCAACTTTGAAAATGAAGGGGAAATGAAAAAGAAACCCAGGAAATCCTACTATTCGTCGCCATTTAGCAGACCGACACATAAACTGTATCACTGCCCAGGATCCTTTCCTTCCTCATTTCTACCCCCCTCCTCCGCAAAAGCGCATGCGTGCACACACACGCACACACACACACACACACACACACACACACACACACACACACACACACACACATATGCAGACAAACACACACACATTTAATACTACTCAGGAATCAAAGGGAGAATTCTATGTCTTGAGAGCTTCTCTGTGGCAACAGGGTGCATTTACGTTGGTACCAAAGAGGTTGTATATAATACTAAAGCTTGCAGCCGTTACGTCATAAAATTAGAACTTTATTTTTTTAAAGCTCTGGTTGGGCTATAGCTCATGAGGCAGCACACGACCCCACAAACAATGCTGCAAGTGACCCGTCTTGTATGTTTGTGTGTGTGTGTGTGTGGGGGGGGGGGTGTCGTGTCGTTTTAGTTGAAACGTCCACTCAGAATTCTCACCAATTGTTGAGGCAAAACCGGTGCTCCATGTCAACTACCGATTTCCCGAGTGATGGACAACTTTTGGTCTGTCGGTTTCTGGTTTTGTGGACAAGGGACTCAACATATTTTAGGCTTCAATAAGCAAAAATAAAAAATATGCATTGGTCTACCTACTTTACATGGCAACTGGAATCTCAATGGTCTGTGGGATCCTACTAAACACCTCCCTTTTTAAAATCCTGGACACTCATACAACGTGCTTAAGTAGAGAACTCATGCCAAGTTCGTTTACTATATGTGATCATGATAAAGAATCTCTACAACTCCCACACAGCTACAAAAAAAGTCACACTTTCATCTTGTTAGAAACAGCCGTGCTTTATTGGGTGACAGAGACCTACAAACACAGTTTTCCCTAGTTCAAAGACAGAACAGCACATTAAAATCATCCTAGCACTTACATGTTGAGACAGTCTGACCACGCCCACTCCCTAACTCCAGTCAGATAAATAGAAGGACAATTTCTGCAGACGACACCACAGCTCTTAGTCGCCAGATATTTCCTGATCAATTCGGAACCTTTCAGGTGAGATTTGTTTGTCTGCTTTAGAAACCACAAAGTAGTTGGTTTTCAAGCCTCAAAAATCGACACTAGAAATGAAATATCCACAACTTCATTAATTTCTTCGTTTGTTTACTACAATAAACTTTCGTCTTTCTATTTCAGAGCAAGAGAAAATTCCTCTTTTTAGTATTTGCAATTTTGAAAGAAATAAATCCTCTACTATTCAAATGTATGACGTAAAAAGTAATCCCTTCTCCTGCTATTTACAAGCTTGAAGGAAGAGGTTGACAGAAGAAAAGAAATTTCTTTTTGTCTCTCTCTAATACTAGCATGTTTAAAGGAAGAAGAAACTTACTCTCTTCACTACATCTAAGTATAACAGACGAAGAAATTCCTCAGCTATTTATACCTCTCGATGAAAAAGAAGTTGCTCTTTTATGTTTTGTACACAACTTCAGAACAATCTATTTGAGTCTAGAATAATTGGAAACCTCTTACAATACTGTTGGCTACTATTGACAGGTTGATACTTCCTTTCTGGTATTCTCGTCTCATATCTAGTAGTTAAACTGCTGCACTCCTAACTTTAACTTTGACCTACATACAACGTCGGTACATAAAAAGAATACAGCCCGTGATTTTTTTCATATCTACAAGTATTTTGAGAGATACATACACAAAGTTAACATGTCATAACAATGTGGTCCTCTGTGGGGTCAGCCAAAAAGAAACCCCTGAAGTCTTAGTTCTCCTTGTCAAATCTCACTAACTCCTGTTTTTACACTTTTACTATTTGTTTCTTTGCATGTCTGCCCTACTTTTGTTTGGCTAGTGGTTTAAAAAATAAGACATACAACGCGTTGTTTGATTCCATAATGTTTCATTCAGATTCATTCGATTCAAACACGCGATTAACTATCCTTGATAATTTTCTATCAGACGTTTAACGTACTGCCTTCTGGTACTCTGATTTTGTCTGTACCTGTTTACTGTGGAAGCAGCTGGCGCCATTTACGTTCCAAGGAGCAAAAGAAATGAGAATTCACTTGCTCAAGAAACCATAATGCTCACATAGTACACGTCAAACTTTTGACACTTTGAGTTCAGACAGGGACTTAAATATGGGCTCAGCTAAATAAGGACAAAGTGGCTTTTTGTGTTTGATGTGTACAATAATACCAGATTATGTCTTGAATATGTCCGAGTCTTGTCTTGACTATTTTTTGGTGTGGAGATGACGTTCTAACAAATGACGATTTCTTTGTTGATATTGGCCCACTGCTGTCCCATAGACATTTCCCTACCATGAATTACAAAGTTCTACCTGCTCAGTACCTAGTTTTGATAAATTTGAAGTTAAAAATGTTGAGTTTTACAACACAGTCGAGGTATTTCGAATGCAAGTCTTTGAAAATCTTGATAACGACTCCGATTAATCTTACAATTTTGACAGAGCAGGTAAAACACTGTTTTCTCGGCTCATGTTTTTACCAGCTCAAAACGGCCAAAAGATGTTAGATATAACTTTGTAATTCTGCGATCTGTTACTGTATCCTTTACTAGAAATGAAAAAATGTGTATGTATACTTTCTAATTATAGTATTTGTTTTGTGTTGTTTTCCAGCGTTCAGCTCAACACCAATCAATCAAGATGAACAACACCGTCTTTGTCGTTCTCGTCGTCCTGGCTCTGATCGCCGCTACCAGTGCTACGTCATTCTCCAGCTGTCTCAGCACATTCAACAACTGGTACAGTGATTGTAAAAGAAGCTTGGGCCAAAAGAAGTGTGACATTACCATGAGTGGACTTGCTCCAGCTTGCTATTACAGCTAACTTCTTCATGCTTCCGTTCTCCTGAACACGTTACAAGCGGTGGACTTCTGAATAAAGATATTGCATAAGACCCTTGTGTTTGCGCAGTGTTACTGGGGGTTTTTTTTGGTTTTTTTTTTGGGGGGGGGTTGTTTTTGTTGTTGTTAATTTTGCTTAACAATCGTACTTGTGCAGACAAACCACCCCACCGACATTGTTATGTTGATTCACAACACCGGAAACGAGAATACTGCTCTGTTTTATCACAGACATTTACTAGACATATAAAGAGCACAGGGAAAAAAGAATGATTTCATTTTCCGACATTCTGAGTAAAACAAAAAGGAAATGCTTGATAACTCTTTTTTTCAAGAAAAAAAGCGTATTTTCTAAGCCTCATACTGGGCGACTTAACGGTGTTTTAGCCATGAACCCTTTGTTTGGCAAGAAGAGGTGTGTAAACATTTTCCAACCCCCTTCACAACTCATTATGTCAAAACGTGACTTCTCTCGTTTTTCTATTGGACCCTTCACATTATGTTTTACTAGCTGGGTTTCATGTTCGATGAACAGACTCAAAAGAATCGATGGTCAAACCATTGTGGGAACAGTGCATCCACTCTTTGTGAAGGGAAGCCTCAATTGTTTACAATAGCGTCTTGGAAGACGGACTTTCCCAAGATTAGATCTAAACGAAACTAATGAAAAACTGAAAATTAAACTACACTGACTTCAAACTCCTCAGTAAAACTGTGTACCCTTTAAATTGTTCTGAACCACGGTTAATTTTTTCAAATTCGAAAGTTTAGCTGGTTCCGAAGTTTTAGGTGGCTAAAGTGACGAACTTTCACAAATATAATATGTATAGATTTCAAAACATACCTATCACTTGGTAGGTGAGTGTGTGTGGGTGCGTGTGTGTGTGTGTGTGTGTGTGTGCGTGCGTGCGTGCGTGCGTGTGTGTGTGTGTGTGTGTGTGTGTGTGTGTGTGTGTGTGTGTGTAGACTTATATGACAAAGAAATAAGGCTGTCTCCAGTCTCTCAGGTGACCCCTAAGCTTGGGAAGATTTCAGTCAGTACAAATTAGCTTGTAAAGCTACCGGACCTGTGTTGTAAAACAATGTGCTTTGTTGGATGTTTCAGCTAGACACACACATAAGTAAATAGATTATGTTCAACATTGAGATTGATTGACTCACATAATACCTTACCAAGAAAATGTGGATAACAAAACACATAGCAATTTCAAGCTCCTGATCGCAAAACTAGGCTGTGTCTTAAGTATACTTACTCGTAGTACAAATCTGATTGTAAAATTGCAGATTCTGGCTGTGAAACAAAGTTATTTGTTACTTGTGACAACTAAACATTCAGAAAAATAATCAGATTGTTTCCAACTCCGAAAGTGTAATGACCTATATAATAAATTCATAAGTAAATTTAATTTTGATTACAAAAAAGATTAGGCTTTTTGTTAAGGTTCTCAGATCACAAAAAGCCTTGAATAGAGTTCAGTCAGTACATACTATGTGCTTGTAAAACCGTGGGACGATTCAGGCTGTAAAATTAAGTTATTCGTTGATTGTGACAAATAGATATACACCACTCACAGCGTAACGACCGACACAATAAGTTCCTTAGTAGATTTAGATGACAAAATAAGGTAAGGCTTTTTCAAGATTCCCAAATCTTCTCTAGGCTTGATTAAAGTTTAGGCAGTACAAATATGCTCGTAAAATTGCAGAACCCAGGTTGCAAAGCAAAATCTGTTATTGGTAGTAACATTCGGACATGCATCAAAATAAACATAGTTTCCAACCCTGAGAGCGTAACAACTGACATAATAAGTTACTAAGTAGATTTAGATAAGTAAAACAAAGATAAGACTTTTTAAAGATTCTCAGATCACCACTAGGCTTTGATGAAGTTTAGTCAACAACATTTGGCTCGAAAATTGTGTGACAAAATGGTTTGTTGGTTTTTACTACCAGACACACACAAAGAGTAAACCCACCGTTTCCAACACAAAGAGTGTTACGGACCAACATAATGATTTACTAAGTAGATTTAGATGAGAAAAAAGATAATACTTTTTTTTTAAAAGATTGTCAGTTCACTACTAACCTAAGATAAAGTTCAGTCAGTACAAATGTGCTTGTACAATTGCAGTTGCTAGGTTGTAAAATAATTTTTATGGCATTCATAATCAGACGTACTCTTTAGCGCTATTGCACGGGAACTGACAAGACATTTGGACTATACATTCTTGCAAAGATAACACTATAATTCAATAATAATATAAATTAATCTATTTCAACTTAAAATAATCGTAACACCTTAAAGTCATAATCGCAGATATTTGAAAAAAAACAACAACATTTATGCAAATACTATGACGTGTTTAGTTTCGGTAACTAACACTAGTAACTAACGGAACAAATGGGGTGTTTTTTCTGTCCCGTCAGTTGCCAAAACTAAATACGTCTCAGAATTTACATAACATACTTTTTTTTCAAATAACTGCATTTAATACGACTCTTAATGTGTCTTTCAAATGTTCTGATCTTTAAAAGTTGAAATAAATTAATTGATATTGAATTACGGTATTTACACTGGGAGAAAATTATTTATGTAGTCCAAATGCCCCGTCAGTTTCCATGGAATAGCCCATAAGTAAATTGATAATGCTCAACACAGAAAGTGTAACGACCAACATAACATCTTACTATGAAAATGAGAATGGCATAAAAAGAGAGGCTAAGGTGTTCACCTCTCATTCGATAGGTCCGGGGTTCGAATCTGGACAGCGACGGAAACTTTTCTTCTCGATAATGTTCTCCTTTTACATTTTTTCCTGTTCTTTAACAATGTTCTGTCGTCTGCTTTCGTCTCTACTTCTGCCCCCACCGCCTCTCCTCCTTTCCTCCCACCTCTGGACTCTCGACTCTTTCTGCTGCTGTTCACCTGCAGCTTCTCCTTGGCTTCTTCTTACTGCTGTCTTTCAGTTGTACCTCTGATCTTATAATAGGAAAGATCTACACCAAACCTTCTCGGACAAGGGCGTAAAATACTGGAGGGCCCGTATTCAAGTTGCGCACGTTAAAGTTCCATTGGTGGTCCAAAATCAATAAAAGTAGGCTTCGGCCACCACCCAAACATAAATCAAAATTTTCTACCATCTGAAATATTTGGTGTGTCCCACGCGCTCACATGACCTTATACAGTTGCGAGCGCCGTAAAATACTTATTCAAAAAAAGGAAAAAAAAGTTTTTTTCAAGCTCAGAGGTTTAAAACTGAGACTTTTACGACCCACATAATATAATAAATCACTAAGTATATTTAAATTACCCTCTCAGATTACCACAATAAGGCTAGGGAGGAGTTAAGTCTATTTATGAAAATTGGCTCTTAGAATTGCGTGACAGAGTTTGAAAAATAAATTGTTTTTGTTGGTTGTTATAATCAGGTGTGCTCATAAGTGAATAGAATATGATTATATGTTAATTAAAATGGCAAAGAAATGATGCAGTTGTAATCTCCTCATCTCAAAACTAGACTAGGGTAGAAAGTATTTTGTACTAATTAATATGCATGTAAAAATGCCTGTACAGATTGGGAAACAAAAGTTTTTTGTTAGTTGTAATAAGCAGACATACACAAAAATAAATATATCTTGTTACAACACAGAGAGCGTAACGACCAACGTAATAAGTTGCCATGAAGATTTTTATAACAAAGATAAGTGCTATTTCTAGCCTTTCAGATCATTACTTGGGTGGGGTAGAGTTTATGTTTGATGACAAAGAAATAAGGCATTTTAAATCCCCTTAGGTCAATACTAGGCTTGATTAGAGTGTAACTAGTTCAAATCTACTCTTAAAATTACACACCAGGTTGTAAAACCAAGTTATTTGTTAGCTGTAACAACTAGACTTGCGTGGAAATAAAAAGATCGTTTCCAACACTGAGACGGGAACGGGCGACATTGTAAGTTACTAAGTTGATCAAGACAAGAGGAAAGATATAGGCTGGGTTTTTTTGGGGGGGTTATCCGCTCACCAATAGACTTTGGCGGACTTTATTTATTTAAAAATGTGCTTGTAAAATTGCAGGTCCCAGGTTGTAAAACAAAGTCATTTGTTAGTTGTAACAACTTGACAGACACGCAAATAAACAGATAAGTGGTTGGCAGGTGCTCTGGTGTAATCTGCTTCTTCTTTCTTATCAAACATCTATCGCCTTTATCGCCCTTCTTTTTTGTGTGTGTTTGCTACTCTCTTGAAACACCTCTAATCTTCGGCACTTATATGACATTATTGTGTTTCAAGTGCTGGCTAAAACTAAAGAAAATATACAGATCGGTTTCAAAACCGTGAGACTAACATTAAAAGTTACTAAGTAGCTGTAGATGACAAAACATAAGGCTGTTTCCAGCTTCTTAGATCACCACTAAGCTTGAGTACTATTTATTCAGTACACATAATTTGCTTGTAAAATGGCAGGATCAAGTTTGTAAAAAATGCATTGTCGGCTGTAACAACTAGGTGTACAAATAAATAAATAGAATAATACGTTCAACACTGAGATTATAACAAAAAACATAAAACCTTAATTAGTAATATTGGATGACAAAGGAATAAGGCGGTTTAAAGCTCTCGGGCTAAAATTTAGGCTTGACTAGAGAGTAATTAGTATTAATTCGTTTGTACAGTTGCAAACCTTAGTTGTAAAACAAAGTTATTTGTTAGGTGTGACAACTGGACATGCACAAACAAAGGGGTCGTTTCCAAGTTTCCAACACAGAGGCTGACATAAAAAAAATAGTAGATTTAAATAACAAGGTAAAAGAGCTGTTTCTAACTTCTTAGACCACCATTAGACTTGGGTAGAGCTTAATTAGTACATATTTTTAATTGTAAAATTTCAGAACCCAGGTTGTAAAACTTTTTTGTTTGTTTGCATTCACAACTAGACGTACACATAAGTAAATAGATTATGATCAACACTCAACGTGTAACGACCAACATAACATCTTACTATGTAAATTTGGGTGACAAAAAAATAAGGCGTTTCAAGCTCTTGAACGTTTAAAATATACTTTGCTAGAGTCTAATTGATACAAATCTGCTTGTACAATTACAAGACCCAGATTTCAAAATAAAGTTAATTTTTAGTTGTGACGACTAGATAAACAGAAAAATAAACAGATTGTTTCCAAAACTGAGAGACCAGCGACCGAAATAATAAGTTACTAAGTAGATTTGGATGACCAAAAAGATATTATTATGTTTTTTTACAAGTTTCACCATTACGCTTGGGTATAGTTTAATAAATACACAGTAGCATGTAAAATTGCATGACCCAAGCTATAAAACAAAACGGTTTGTTGATTGTTACAATTACACGTACACATAAGTAAATAGAGTAAGTGCAATGCTGATAATGTAACTACCAACGTGCCATTTTGCTAAGGAAATTCGGAGAACAAAGAAATAATGTAATTTTAAGCTCCTGAGCTCAAAACTAGGCTTGGTTTACTAGAGTTTAATTAAAACAAATCTGCTTGTAAAATTGAAAACTATTATATTCAGATGACAAAAATGGATAATATATTTAACTGACAGAAATAGATAACGCTTTTAATTTTATTAACATAAAAATGAAGCAAAGGCCCTGAAACCAAAATGGCCCTTTAAACCCAAAAATCACCCCCTCCCCGCCATCACCCCCCCCCCTTTCCAGCCATCACCCCCCCCCCCCCCCATCTTATTCTGCTCTTGCGGTGAAATGAGAAACATTCGTGTAACGTGCCTTTCGGACGTACATAACGACGGGCCCCTGACAGGATTCGAACCCACGACCATACAACCTCGAGCCTATTGACTAGAATATATCCCCCCCCCCCCCCCCCAAAAAAAAAGAAAGAAAAAAAAACTAGTATTCAGCTGGATCACTTGAGAATACACCAAATTGTTGCAATATAAAGTCTCAACAGTTTTTTGAAAAAGCGAAATGATGAAATGGAACATGTATAGGTTTAACGTGACTAAAAGTTTAAATTCCTTGACACCTGTCTCCCAAAGTCAAACCCCTAATCCATGTCGAGGGAGATGGAAGCAGGAAAATGTAGAGGAAAACTACACGACATGTACTGTGTTGACTGAAGTATAACGTGGCTCATGTCACTCAGATGCTAAGCTGGCCGTGAAGGTCGACCCGTGGCGCCCTGAAAATTTGTTGACCAACAGGGCTCTGGTAAAACTGTGACCAGTTCAGCAGGTCGGCAATGGATTTTTTATTGCTGAAAGAAAAACAAAGGATCATTTGACCAGGTCAATAGGGTGAGGCAGTGGTTGAATTTTGGAACGCTATGGAGTGAACGACCTGCTCATTTGTAATATAAAAGCAAAATATGAAAATAGTGATATTCTCAGTTGTGCAGATACAATCAATGGATATATAGACTGGTTCAGAACGATATCAGAAGGCTGGAAAAGCTGTATCATTTCACAGTTACTCGTTATAGCATATATGGACCTGTAATACAAGAAGCTAATGGCAAACCTGAAAAACAAAACGGACTGTTTTTCGGTGACGATCAGAGCCTCAAACACCAAGACCAGGACAATCTCAAAGAACGCTCCACAAAACTGAACAAACCATGTGAGAAATATGGAATCAAAATTAACAAAATTAAGATAGAAGTAGTGAAAGTCTACATAAACAAAAGCCAATGAATAAATATCCAAGTCAACAGCACACAAAGGAAACAAGTAGAAGGACTCGAATACCTTGAAACGCATTCATATCAGATAGGAAAATGGACAGACTAATTGAAGCACGATTACAAAAGTCAAATGCGTTCACTTACCTACTGACATCACTCCTTTCCCTTCAGAATACCAACAGTCCACCTCCAGGGTCAAACCTGAACCCCAAAGAAAGTAAGGTAACAGCAAACGATATGAAATGTCTCAGAAAGGTACTAAACATCACGAGAAAAAAATAGACAAAGGAACGAAGATGTCAGATAACAAGTGGGTGTCGAATGGAGAATGAGATAAGCCAAGAGACAACAAATTTTAATGAAATGGTTTGAATACGTTTTGAAAATAGGGCCACAACAGCCAGCCCAATGGTCTACAATATGGAATTCGATTACTTCAAGGAAATAAAGACCAAGAAAAATATGGATCGACGGAACCAAAGAGATCCTCCAAAAGAACAACATGAAAACGTAAGAGATACCAAACCAGGCCCATGTCCGACAACTGTGTCTCAAAATCTTTCCATACAAAAAGACGGGGGAAAATTAATGAATATAATTAGCCACATCGGGCACTGTTAGCAAAAAACTATTAACATTAATGCGTTGGTCAGGAGAAAAAAATATACTGATTCAGTTTATGTATTGTGCATTAATAATGAGTTCACAACAGTTTGCAGGATGTTGTTAGATATATCCTTTTATTGTTCAAGCTCTAGGCTCTTACAAACGTGCACAGGTAGAAAGAATGCGCCAGGTTTATTTATTACTTGTTAAATATTCGCCAAAACTCCCGCACAGTCTTTAAATAAGCCACACTTCCATGTCACAAGAAATAAATATGCTCTATCTTGCGATAGAGACCTACAAGAACAGTTTCCCCTAGTTCAAAGGTAGAACAGCACATTAAAATCTTCCTATCACTTACATGTTGAGACAGTTTGACCACGCCCACTCCCGAGCTCCAGTCAGATAAAAAGAAGGACAATTTCTGCAGACGACACCACAGCTCCTAGTAGCCAGATATTTGCTGATCAGTTCAGAACCTTTCAGGTGAGATCTGTTTGTTTCCTCTCTCTACAGTTGAGCAGTTTCAAGTGAGATGAAAGTCCTCTTTTTTCTATACGTGTAGCCAAAAACAAAATTTCACTTTCTACTACTGATAATTTTGAAAGAAAAGCAGATTCCATTTTCTACTTAATAGCACAAGAGGTTCCCCTCGCTACTATTCACAGATTTGAAGGCAGAAGAAATTGTTCGTTATTAACAAGTTTCATCATAAAAGAAATTGCTGTACTAAGTCCACAATTTCAGAATGATCTATTTGAGTCTAAAAGTGTGTGGCGTCGGTGGCCTAGTGGTTAGGCTCTCGGACTCGCAACCGTAAGGTCGTGGTTTTGAATCCCGTCAGGGATCCGACCTTGTGTCCTTGGGAAAGGCACTTTACACGAATTTTCCTCACTTAACTCAGGTGGGATTGGGTACCCAGCTATAGACACTGAAAGGTCTTGTCAGTTTGTTAGTGTTTGGGCGCTTAATCAGCTGCTTGCAGTGTATGCTTCCCGAGAAGCTGAGAATGTTTCTGAGTGTTCTATGGTCTGCTGAGGTAATAATATAGTGTAAAGCGCATAGAGCCTGCGGTCGAGCGGGGTTCTGCGCTATACAAATGCTATTTATTTATTTATTTATTATTATTATAAACCTCTTACAATACTGTAAAATTGCCAGCTTTTTACTTCCTTTCTAGTATTCTCGTCTCATGTCTAAAGGTTAGACTGCCGCACTCCCAAACGTCATTTGAGGCATCAAAAAATATGACCAACGGTATATTTTCATATCTGTTTTGGTTATCAAATATGTGAGGCAGTGTGGTGAAATCAGGCACTCACCAAAATAATCAAAGTGAAGAAACTGGCATTTTTCCGCAGGTTTGTGCATTTTTATTGATTTTTATTTTTTACTCAGTACCTTTCATGCCCATTAAAGAACACATTTCTGGGTGGACTTTACTGAAAAACGCTGATTAAAGGCACAAACAGATGTAAATTTTCAGTTTCCACGGACACTCAAGCTAAGGAAATAACTTACCTTTGGCGGCCATTTTCTCACTAATTTTACCTCT